TGAGGCGTCTGTAACCCTGTGCACAGCGTGCTGCAGGCTTTAGGCTCCATGTTGACTCTAATAGTGTTTGGTCTGAGCGCAGCATCAGGCCCGTTTTCTCATTGAAAACATTCTAGGGACGATTCAGTGTGAAAATGATGGACGAGTCCAGCTCTAAATGTATATGAAGAAGCTATTTGCCAAGCTTGTTTTGTTCAGTCTGGGAAAGCTGAAGCTGTGTTTGTGTCCCTCAGTACCTGGAGCAGATCCGGCAGACCGTGTTTGAGAACTTGAAGATGCTGAACCACGCACCCAGCGTGCAGATCCACGACGTTCCCTCAGACATGCTGAGCTACGAGCGCAACGACGAGCCCGACCCCGATGAGAGGGGAGCCGAGGAAAACTACACCCGGTCAGTGGTTAGCCGTGCTAGCATGCTTCCTCTACGTTTGAAGGACTTTTTTAAAATGACGTCTTTGTGGTTCCCACAGGCCCGAAGCAGCAAACGAGTTCTACGATGGCGACCATGACAACGACAAAGAGAGCGACGTTGAAATCTGAAACGCTGCAGCTTCCCTGAGAATCAGCGGAGTCATGCAGGCAGCTAACGGAACATGCTGAGATTTTCTCACCACTCGGAAGTTGCTTTTTTTTAATGGATTCTGACATGTTTTTGGTATTTTATGATCAACGTTGCGTTTTTTTCTGTGTAATCCTGATGTTTGTGCTTTTGTATCTGAAAGGTTTTTGAATCCATTGATTCGTGTGCGTCAGACCGGGGTCAGACCAGACGAAAACTCTCCCGGCTTTATGGATCAGTTTAAAGTCACCACTCGGTTTTTTAAGTAGCTGTGATTTATGCGACGTGTTCACATGTGAAACCCAAACAAAGCTTGATAACACATCCCGCCTGCAGTCTGGTATAGACTCATTAGAGTTTTGATAGTTTTGTTAATAAAAACTGAATCAGTGACGGTGTCCACAGCTTTCTATTTCCCACCACTAGAGAGTGAATTTTGTTCCATTAATGGTTTGGTACATATGAGCAAAATGAAGGAATCCAGCAATGAAATGTTGAAACACCTCAATAAAAAAAGCCAAAAGGTTTGGAGAGTAGATTTGCTGTTTCTTTAGATATTTTTTTTTATTTATTTATATTTTTCCTTCTTTTTTTAAAAACAAAAAAACATTTTATATAAAAAGAAAAAAAAGTCAGATTGAGTTTGATGAATTGCATTCCTTTCATAGTTCGCTTTGGACAATGACTGATAAAAAATTATTCTAACGTGACGTCCAACAGAAAAGCATCTTTGCTCCAGAGGAAAACCCGCTTTATGAAGAGAACGTGATCCGTAAAGAGCAGTTGGAAAAGTGCCGTTTAGAAAACTTGATCTGAAAAACTGAAATTTTAAAATGTAAAATCAGCAAAAAAACAAGTTTTTTAAAAAAAATTTTAATTTATTTATTTCGAACAGACAGTAAAAACAATCAAGAAAAAAATTTGAATGAAACAAACTTAAGAATGAAAATATAAAACAAATTATTTTGCCCATGTGACATGCAAATTTTATATTTTCTGTTCGAAAAGGAGCAGGTAGAAGATACATCTTATAATGTCCTGCCCCTTTCCTACTTGTCAATTTATCATCAATTAACTGTCAAAACATCAAAAAAACACTTGTTTCCATTCCACATGATGTTTAGCCATGTACAATTATTTTAAGTACTACTTATGTCATCAATTACATTATAGACTATTAAACAGTCATCTTATATAGCGTATTTTGAAAGTTTGAAAAAAATTAAACAAATTTAGAAAAATAAAATGTGAGAATGCAGGAAATTTAGTCAAATCCCTTTTCAAATTTGAATTTATGGGGTTTTTTTTTATTTACAAAACCTATTTTTGCTTGCAAAAATAATGGATCAAACCTGACTCCATATTCCTCTGGAGTGAGGAGCAAAGAAGCATCTATTGGGCTGCTGGAAGCTACTAAAAATGTTTTATAGGTTTGTTTGGACTGGGCTTCAAGTAAAGAGGATGAGATCTGAAAAAGGAAACAAAACCCTAGATATGTTATATTTTAGAATTGGGTTTAAATAATATCACACATTAGATAGATCTGTTTGAGTTTAAACTTCCTGGGATTAAATAAGGGCTCAACTGGGAACAATCTGTGGTTTTTGAGCAGAGACAGATCCACCTGGTATTAATGAAAGGTAGTGATGGATCCAGCAACAGCGATGCATTGAGACCATAGAGCAAAACACTACAAACGTATCTGTCAACATGACGCATCTGCTAAAAAAAAATCTCATCTTTTGTGATTCATCGTTAAAATTATCAGGAATTTTGGAGCAGCCTAAAAGGAATAGAAACATTTCAGTCGTTGCATTTTAATTTTCTCATTGTGTCATCCTTTTCCTCTCAGTTATCACTCAACTTATCTGAATTTAAGTTCATTTCAAATTGATTTTTTGTTTATTTACTGTTTTTTTTTTCTGTAATTATTGTTTTAAAAATCCTAGTCCACCAGCACCCTCATTCACATTTTCTCCTAAATTTTCCAGTTATGACATATTTTTATATTATTCATTGGTTGCATCTAAAAATATCAAAGATAGTTCCAATAGATGTGCAATAAAACAATATAACCTACAACAACTCCAACAGTGTACTAGGTCATCAAATCAATACATTTTAGTCTGTAAAATATGCTGCCTGTAGTGTCTTTAAATGTCCAGCAGGTGTCAGTATTGTGTGACAGAATCAATGCAGCATTAATAAAGTTTGGCTTCAAGATGCCTCTTTACCATCACTAATGAAAGTAAAACCCACGAATAGTAACAACCCTTTGTTGTGACAGTGCATGCGCACTGGCTTTTTAAGGGTTTATGTTTAATAAATTGAGACTTACAGCATCAGCCCCCAATCCCGTTACATGCTAGAGGCTGATGGTTCTAGTTTACTTCCTGAACAATGTATGACCTCCAATAACACCTAGGAATCGAGACAAAAAAATAAAAGTACCGGTAAATCATGATTATTGATGATCAGATGTTTGTCAAAATATGTGACTGAATTTATATTTTATAATGTGCTCTTTGCATGCTCTCTCTTTGTGGATGAGATTGTTGCAGCCCTATACAGTGAAATGACAATGATTCAGGTATTAAAGGGCTCCAGACCAAAAAATACTCAATTACTTTTTAATAGGAACGAAGATAACCCTGATGAATGAGAGGATGTTACGAGTGTGAGCTATTTCTACTGTTTTCAAGATAAGCTAGTTCATCCATAAACTGATGATGTAACAAGCTATAGGCTGATAAATTAATGTGTCTTCAAGAACGTCTTACCAAAATTATTCTAAACTGAAGGGTGACATGTTCACTTTAAAATGATCATTGACAAAATGATTTAACGATTCTTCCATTTGAAAAGAATTAAATGATTAAAACTCAACATGAAAGAGATAAATTGGAGAAACAAAATACCATTTTAATTAGAAAGTTTTTAGATTTTAAATGGAAATAAAAAATGCAAGATATGTGTTGAAGCTGTTTATTCTTTATTTCTTTATCCATTTGAATATTGTTGATTCCTAAATTTATATTTTTTGTAATATTTACAGAGTTTATTTGCAGGTTTATAGTTGTTGATTCTATTTCTTTGTTTTATTATTTTTCTTATTTATTTTTGTTCTGAGGTATGACAGGAAGTGATGTGGATCAGTCCACTTTTTAGAAGTGTCAGGGTCTGGGAAAGGACCAGGAGGCATTTTGGGTTTGGGGCCTATGGTTTTTACCAGAGCAAGAAAGGTAGGACAAAGGAAAAGTTTGAACTCTGTAATTTTTGGCTGAAATAGAAAATAAACCATCCAGAACAATCATCAAGTTTGGCTATTGAACCTTCCTTTGCCTGCATAAAGAAACTTGACCCCAGTTCCTTAGTAGTGGCTTAATGGAACTTTAATTGGATGTTTGGTTTGGCAAACCATCAACATTACAATATGTTCTTTGTTGCAACAGAAACTGGAGCTAAATTCCCTACCTACACCACTAGATGGTGACAAAACGTAAGGGAAAAAATGACATTTCAGCAGGAGAGGGACTCCCAGTTTAATTTTAAGTCATTTATTGTTTCATATCACAGTCAGAAACTACAAACACACTCCCACCTACAGTTTAAAATATAATTTGACCTTTAATCCCCCCCATTGTGAGCCAGAAACCTGAACACAGCAAGTCCTGAACAGCATCAGCTTAGGCTAAATGTAAACCATAAATACGGTTCTCATCTCTTAAGGCTCTGATTTTAGCCTTCTGTGGAGATTATTAAGGTATAATAAGGTAGAGTCAGAGTCTTTCCTTGCATGCACATCAGATGAAAACAAACAAAAATTGTGTTCCAATCAAATCAATTAGAAAGCGCATTTAAATGAGGAGACTGCAACTGTAGGCTGATTAAATAAAGATGATTACAGGAGCTGCAAAAGGAGGATATATTCTTTGTAATCGAGCTTGAAAACAGCATCTCTGCACTGCAGATGTGATCTAATGTAAACATGGAGGACGGGAACTTTGCCCTGAGTGCAGGTTGGTATCAGAACAGCAGCCACTGGTTTCTAAATGCTGCCATCTGTACGCTGAGGGCCAACACTCTGATTTATTTAAATAAAACAGAAACGGTATTAGACAAACATTAAAAACAGACAAAGCTTAATCTAGACTACAGCAGCAGATGAGAGGCAAAGGTTAGAAAGATCAAATCTGCTTTCCAGACATTTCAGAGGCAGCAGTAAGTCAGGATCCATCAGTTACAGCAAAATCTGCGGCGTGGCAGGAGCTCGATGACGGACCTAAAGTGCTGTGCTTCATGGCTGCACTGGTTTCTAACCTGGACCGAAGAAAAAACACGCAACGTTTACCACCTTGCCTTTAAAATACACCTCGACAGGAACATTAAACCCAGCTCATTTAAAGGTTTTACATTAAAAATGCAGAATCCAGAGAATGTGTGGTTTGGGAAACACAGCGTTTAGGAAAGCAGTACCGTGGATGGCCACTGGGTGGCAGACATCTAATTCTAAATCTACAGCCCAGAGGCTGCAGGCGGGACAGACACACAGGCTCAAACTAAAAGCTGAGTTCAGCAGCAAAGAGCAGTCTCCAATATCAGCCTATTAACCTCAAAATATCTGGATATCATTAAACCTCTGATGCACTGAGCTCAGAAATAGCTTATTGAAAATAATCCCCTGCAGTATGCACACCATTTCTCCAGCTAAGCTTCTGTGATGCTAAAAATATATATATATGTATATATCCGAGCTCATTTGTATGTTTACACAACAACGGTTACAGAGGCTTCCAGTCCAGTTGTTCAGGTCTGACTGAAGGTAAACGGAGGAGGCGGCGTTCGGTTTCTACAGCTCTTCGCTCTCGTACAGCGGGGCCGTGTGCTGAGCAGGGCTCTCCACCGTCAGCGCGGGGGCGTGGCTCAGAGAGGACAGCAGCTTCAGGGTCTTGGAGGCCGGAGGGGCCGTTTTCATGGCCGGGGTTGTGCGAGCTGGAGGAGAAACACATGGAAGGGCTAAAAATCAGTAACTGGCAGATTTATAACAACAAATACTAAAATGTGAGCAAAATGTTTTTATCTGGGGGGGAATCTTCTAAATGAGAAGAGAACAAATTCAAAAGTGAAGTGCAGTAGATGCCACCCAGGGAGCCACAAATCTTAACTCTGTCTGGACACGGGCTAAAAATTCTTCTCATGCCACGTGTCTGAAAATAACTCCTGCATGCTGCACAGCGTGGCCGCAGCTCACTGCCAGATATGACCAGAATGTACCCACAGGAACAATGGGTTCCCAAATCTACACGGCTTACTTCTATAGTTTCCACTAAAACATTGAAAAGCTAAAGATAATCTGAACAGATTTAATATTCTCTAAATAAACTATAATTGACAGCATTAAAATATTTGTTTTTCCTTTAATAATGCCAATGGATACAATCACTAATCAAAATATTAGTGTTTTCTTCACTCAGGAACAGCTTCCACACCAAAGAGTTTCAGCAGAACCAGTTAGCATTTAGCCACGCCGAGCTCCATGAGCAGAAAAACAGTTTCAGATTATCTGATCTGGTCGAAATGAGAATAATAAAAAAATAATAACCTTGTAAAGACCTCGATCATATAAAACACTACTGTATCTTCTAGCCATCAGGGCAGGGGTGACCAATTAAAAACCAGCAGGGTCTGAATAAAGAAAATCATCAACCAGTAAAGGTCCACAGACATTTTTAATTATAATCTGTTACTTTAAACAGAATTTAACACTGAAATAAAATTAGGTTTTTATCAGGGTTTCCATGGGTCATTTCAAATCATTAAATTATTATTTTTAAAATTAATTGGCATTAAATTCCTATAGGTTCCCAATGGGAAATTCCATTGGGACCAAGTAGCACTAAATTGGTGACTTAGAAACGACACTGTCAAGGAACGCTATGGACAGAGGAAACATGCAAGAGGAGGAGAGTTTAGTGTCGGAGGTCATGGATGAGTCTCCTCCATCATCAATTTTTTATTTAGAGGAGGAAAGCGGGGATGAAGATGTTGTGGAAGAGGACGCCAGGGCGGCAGAAGCTTGGTTTGGTGTAGAAGGCTTACAGCCGTACATGTTGGAGCCCTTGCCTCGCAACGCTGCCAGTTCTGTTAGCTCTACGCCTGCTGAAGACAGAGTGACCATCCCCGTGAACACTGGGACGGAACTCAATGGGAAAGGAAATGATTCTGATTTCTGATTTCAATCGTTGCATATATTAGCTGCGACATATGAATCAAGATGCTATGACCGAAAAAATTTGATTGACAAAGTACATTTATAAACATGTTTAAGCCAAAATGATTTGACATTGAAATATGATTTCCGTACAACTACTTTAAGATCAGATCTCCATACGCTTCAAAAAAAGGCAGAAAGTAAGAAATGTTTTTTTTGTACATGACTAAAAGGTTACACTCCTGTTTAGGTAGTTTAAAGTTTATTTTTCATAGAAAACTAAAGGGATAAACGGATATTGACTATGCGTATGCTCCTGACAGAGCACCATCAGCAGCTGTCCTTTGCTCATCTAAACTCACTTTCTACGGCTGGAGCTCTCCACAGAGCAGATGCTGTGTTATCTGAGAGCAGAAACCTAATAGCTGAGTTCCACTTTCATTGATCCATCTGAGGGACGCATTCTGGCCATAAGCTGAACGACTCGCTCGCCTCACATCTTTAGGTTTCTACTCCCTCTTTTGTCTTTGTTGTGTCTGACAGCAGATGGAGGATGCGATGTGCCTACCACGGCATTGACTGTGTTTGGTTTTACAGCCTTGTTTCTATGGTAACCTGATGCAATCAGACGGGAGCCGCTCAGCAACATTTGCATAGAGGGATGGAGATACTTACTGCCGACGTCCAGCCTGGCGTTGCATGTGGACAGGCCAGCTTCATTGATGGCAGACAGCGTGTACCAACCAGAGTCGGACTTGGTTACTCTGTCTATGAGCAAACACTGCCGACCCGAACCGTCCTGGTACAGACTGCAGGAACAACAGCAGATCAGAATCAGATATACTTTAATTATCCCAGAGGGAAATTACAGTTGATGATTGGAGTTAGAGATACACAGGTGTTTGGAGGCACTTCAGAAAGTTCATTCTGCATCAGGACCAACAGACTGCTGAACTCCGTTGTTTCTCAAGCCATCAAGCTGTACAACTCCTCACTTTGGGGAAGGAGGGGGTGATAGGAGGAGGAACAAGGGTCAGCACCCCCCTCCTTGAACATCATATGCAAAACATTACCCATTGTCACTCATGTGCAATATTTTACTCTCACTGTGCAATAACACCTGCCAACTACTCTGGTACTACTGTCATTTTTTACGTATTTATCATTAAATAAGTAAATTTAAGTACATTTAACTCAAGTGCAATAGTCGAAGTCACGGTCTTGTCTGTCATATTTTTTATCTTAAATGGCCAGAATTTCCCTGAAGGAGTAATCCAAAGGGATAAATAAAGTTGAGTCTAAGTCTAAAAATATATAAAGCTGCAGCTCCTGCAGATCTGACTAAAATAACAAAGCCTTGGTTTTGGCGATACGACACCAAGAGGGAATAAACAACACAACCTAGATGTCCATCCATTTTCCATCACGCTTATCCCAAGCAGGGCCGCAAGCGGTGCTGGTGTCTATCTCCAGCTGTCTACGGGCGATAGGCGGGGTACACAGTGGACAGCTCGCCAGTCTATCACAGGGGAACACAGAGACAAACAAACAACTATTCATGCACACACAAACACTAAGGACAATTTAGACAAGCCAATTAACCTAACAGTCATGTTTATGGACTGTTGGAGGAAGCCGGAGTACCCGGAAAGAACCCACACATGCTCAGGGAGAACATGCAAACTCCATGCAGAAAGACCGGCCGGCAATAGAACCTACCCACTGCGCCACTGAGCAGCCCTTAAAGCTGAAGTCTGTAAGTTTTTAAAAATCACTTTTTTGTCATATTGGCTAAAACTGTCCCTATGCCCAGACAGCAGTACATGTGATATGTAACCTGCGAAAAAAAAACTGCTTCAATTGGTCCCGCCTACTGCCTGTATTTCAATCTGGAAAGAATAATTCGGGACGAGTCAAAACAACCAATCACAGCCAGAGGAGCGTCTGATGGAGTGTCAATCACAGCTCACTCACGCTGATTCCCAACCGCCCCCCCCTCACCGCTTAACCTGCCGCAGCGCCCGGCTGCCGCAGTCAGGAGGACACGCGTGGAAGTCATGGCGGAGCGACAGCCACCAGCGAAAGAGAAACTGCCCTTACTGCCCCTGCCGACAACTGCTTACACGGCAAACTTCGGTATAACCAGCATCTTATATCTAGCTGCTTGGAGGTGAGTGTTATCGCTCTTACCGGTTCACACTCCATGCCGCGTACGCTGCTTGGACGCTTCTGGTCGCATATGGTAGCCGCGCAGATGCTGTGAGAGGGGTGGAGCTTGGAGGTGGGGCATGAGTGAAGCAGAGAGGGTGGGGGAGTGGCGTGAAACCTGTTTTTCTTCAAATTTTCAGTCGAAGTCTGCTCTCTCCTCAATGTTACAGACTGCAGCTTTAAAGATGACATATTTAACATTTAAGGGGAACGCCGTTTTTTTTACATTGGACCCTTGATTTTATGTTATTACATCATGTTCTACTCACCCATATAAGTTTTGTGTCATTTGGAGCCGTTCTGAAGCTATTCTGTTAGGTTATATCCAAGTAACGTGTTCCTATGGGCAACGACTTGAAGGCACAAACTAAACTGTTCATAATTTATTTTTTATGGTACCCCAGCATTCATAACATGTTGGCCAATCACTGTCCCCCAGACATTCGCGGTTATAATTTTATTATTTCTATTTTTTTTAAACAAAGCGGAGTGTGTATGATGTCATCAGCGGGCGCTGGCTACCATTCATTCTTCCTGTCCGCTGAACTGCTGCTAGTTTTACTCACATGCTGATTCAGATTAGCAAGCCGAATAAATAGAACGGGTAGAGCGTAGCCGCCTGTGGCCCGGGCCGCCTGTTACAACTCCAGTCCAGCGAACAGATGACATCATACACACTCCGCTTTGTTTTTAAAGAATATAAATATAAAAAATATAACCGCGGATGTCTGGGGGACAGTGATTCGCCTACATGTTATGAATGCTGGCGTACCATAAAGAATAAATTATGAACAGTTTAGTTTGTGCCTTCAAGTCGTTGCACATAGTAAGACATTACTTGGATATTACCTAACGGAATATCTTCAGAACGGCTCCAAATGACACAAAACTCATATGGGTGAGTAGAACATGATGTAATAACATAAAATCAAGGGTCCAATGTAAAAACAAAAAAAAAGGTGGGAAATGGAGCCGACACTCAGGAAGAGACCATATACTTATGTCTTAATGTTGGCAGTGGGCTTTATGCTGCCCTGCAAGGCTTTAAACCTGGGTTTGAATGGAGACTAAGCCATTCTAAAGCACATATCAAGGAGCTCATTTTGAGCCTGGATCCAGATTTATTGTTGATTCTGTTCATGGTGGAGAATCCTGCTTCACAGCAGCAGGTTGAGCCAAACATCCTCTAAATGTTCAGGGTCATCTTTGAGCACCATTTCACTTTTCTTTCAACAGTTCACCACAGTTCTTCCAGCAGTCCACACTTTCTCTGCTCTCTTTTTCTCATCATCTTCTCCTTCTTTCCCATCGCCCGGCTTGCCACAGGTTTGCCTGCTGTGTCTAAAAGTAGCAGCAGCAGCAACCCAGACTGACAGCAGCTCATTGGATCATTAGTATCACGTGTAGCCTGGTGCTGGACGCTCTGGAAAGGATTTCCATATTAACAGGAGAAGCGGCACACTGTTGTCGGACAACATGCGGTAATTTATAAATGTTTTAAATCAGGTTGTGTATGGATTCGGACCACGGTCCGCTAATCCGTGACCTCTGCTTTAGAGGAAAGGAGGTGAGGCCTGTTTAAGGCTGCCTTGCATCCCTGTTTGTAGGAAAGCTGTAAAGGAGGTTTCATCAGTGGAGGACCGTCAGACGACCTACCTCATTCTGTTGGGGTCGATGCGCAGCATGTCTTTGTCCTTCTTCCAGAAGAGCTGCGGTGGAGGAGAAGCATCGACTTTACATTCCAACCGCACCGTGTCACCTTCAAGAGCTCTGGTGTTCAGCATCTTCTGGACGAAGGCGGGGGGGCGCAGAGCTTCCTGAGCTGCAAAACAAAACATTGATTTTACAGTTTATTCCAGTACGTCTGAAACGAACACGCATTCCAAAAGACTTCAGGGATGCCATCATGTCCAGACCTATGACATCCAGCCTCATGGTAAACCGGCTCTCTCCAGCCCGGTTCTTGGCCACGCACTCGTACACGCCGGCGTGATGCACCGTGACGATCTCTATGATGAAGGAGTGCATTCCCTTCTCACACACCAGCATCTTGTGGTAATCGTCTGGACGGATCGCTTTGCCGTCCAAGTACCAGGAGATATCTGGCGCCGGGAGGCCTCGGACCTGCAGCGGTGAGAAAACCAGCTCACATTTCCCATCCTGATGGGAGCTGATGCTCTACAGACACCGTGTGGTGTTTGCAATTTTGAAAAGACAGTTACATGATGTAGTTATTAACTACATTGTTTACTGCCAACAAGCACCGTTATCAGTTTGCAGCAGATCAGGATATGACATCCATCTGTGCTGCTAGGGACATTAGCATCTTAAATCCATCATAATTTAAAGTGATCTTCACCTATTGTGCATACCCAAATGGAAAAGAAAATAACTGAGGAACTATAAGCACAAACTACATGTGTGATACAGCATTTGAAAGCTAACAGCTTCTCGTGTATGAAAATAAAAATGAAAATACTGTGAGCTTTATGCTGCTTTATGCAACCCAGCCATCTCTAGCCTTGTTTGTAACCTTATTTCATTGGCTACAAAGGCAAACATCCCACGTGGTCTTAACCAATAACAGCAGTATGGGGCCAAAATTGTTGCTTTATTATTTACAAATGTGTGTGGAGAGTTGTATATCTGTATCTCGAGTTGTGCGAGAAGCTGTAAATGTGTGAAACTGTAAATGTGTGAGGAGATTTGTGTGTCTGTACAACAATCTGCAAATGTGCAAAACTACTTGTGTGTGTGTAATCTGGTTTGCAAATGTGTAAAAAATCCACAAATCTGTATTCAGATCTACAAATGTGCACTGCGATTTACAAATCTGTAGTAAGATTTGCAAATGTGTAGAACAATCTGTAAGCACACGCAGAGACACTGTGTCCGAAGTATTTTTGCTTCAACACCCAGAAATACAGTCCAAGTCCAGCGGTTTCTCGGTTGGCTCTCTTTACACACGTGATTTTTGCTACACTTTTCTGCCGTGTGAGATGCACAAATGCGTAAAAGGATTTGTATCTGTACTATCTGGATTTGCTGCCCTGGGCGCAGGCTCACAGGCTGCAGCAGTGCTCAATTTTTTCGCTCGGGCAGCCTACTGGTAGGACAGCCAGGCTGTCATCATGGTGGCTGCGTAGTGGCCGTGCCCGGAGAGCCTGCCACCTGCATGGCTGCGTAGTGGCTGGTGGTGCCCCCTGCCGGCAGATGCTGCCCCCGGAGCCAAAAAACAGCAAGAAAAATACCAAAAAAAGTGACGAGCCACATCGAGCCACCGGAACTGCTGCGACTCAGCCACTGCCGCGAATTGAGCTCGGCCCTGCTGCAGCCTGCGAGCCTGCGCCCAGGGCAGCAAATCCAGATATTACAGATACAAATCCTTTTACGCATTTGTGCATCTCACACGGCAGAAGAGTAGCAAATATCACGTGTGTAAAGAGAGTCACAAGTAGTTTTGCACATTTGCAGATTGTTGTACAGACACACAAATCTCCTCACAGATTTATAGTTTCATTTACACATGTTCAAATCCCCCTGCACACGCACAAATCGAGATACAGATACACAACTCTCCACACACATTTGTAAATAATAAAGCAACAATTCTGGCCCCATACAGCAGGGCTCTATGAGGCGTAATATCGCGCTACTCAGTGCGTCATTGGCTGACAGGCAAGGAGCGCTTATGAGATTTCATTGGCTGTCCCTGACTCAAATCGAGTCATACAAAGATACAGACACTTGTAGAAGATGATGTAAAGAAACATATCAAAAATCACAGACAAGTGTTCGAGGAAGTAAGTCTTAATAGTAAGATGTTAAGCATTAGCTATGACCAGCTAACTTTTCTGATGTCAAAAAGCGGATGTTATGTGGCGATTTTCTCATCATGGACTGTTTTTTATTATGAATAATCTGGATTACTTTTAATCTGTGGACACTTATGAACGAATGGAGTATAAACAGTTGAAGACTGGATTTATAAAACAGCTTCTGGATGCCTTCAAAGGTATGTTGCTGTGGCTGCTTTGTAATGTTTACATTTTGACATGCTGCTATATCTGTGTTAATTGTGCTTTGGTGCTCACTGTGTCCATAAAATAAACTTGGTGGTTGAATTGTGGGGAATCTAAACTTTCCAACGATGTGTAACATGTCTATATTGGTCAACATTTTACCATAGTAATTTTTGTTTTGTTTTTTTACAGTGTCCTGTATGGCAATAACAATAATTGTGTTGAAAATGCCAAAAAAGAGCCCAGCAGATTTTACTTTCACAAGTGGAGCGATACGGCTATCGCCATAGTGTTCTGCTTGATTTATGCATGGAAATAGCTCTATTATAAGGAAAGGAAAAACAGGAAAAAGGAGAAAAGATAAAAGAGAGGAGATAAAGGGGAGACAATGATAAAACGATACACATTTCGTCTGCAACTGCCGATAATCACATCCTGTATACCTGACGGAGTTTGACTTGATGAAAAAAAGGAAAGCAGAGACCCAAGATTGGTTGAGATGAAACTAACAGATGTGAGATTGAATCACCTTGAAGTCGACCCTGCAGAAGCGTCCCTCCTCCACTGTGAGATCTGGGGGGATCTGAAGGAAGCGAGGAGCAAAACATTTCTCCTGTATGGCTGATCCCTCGTTACTCCTTTCATCCGTCCCAGAGTGATGCTTCCCCCTGAGAGGGAGCAGATATGACTGAGTTTCACCTTCCACAGCTGATCACACCAACATGCTGCATATTTCTCTGTTAGTAAAGGGAGGCTGAACTGTCTAGTCTGTCCAGTCTGATGAGGAAAATAAAAAATCAAGCTGAATGTTTTTAATGGAGTGCAATAAGAAATATGTCCAGGAAAATAAACAGATCAGGTTAATAATTGACAGTTCATAAAGAGAGCATTATATTTCATCTCCATGTTTTCTACAACATTAGCTTTTATAGCTGCAAAGTAAACACAGCCAGGCTCCAACAGTTAAGCTCTCAACACAAAACCTAATCTTTTTAAATGAAATATTAATTCAGGAATCTATTTACCACAGTCCACCGGTGCGTCTTCCTTCTGGAGAGTCTGACTGCAAACAAACAACAGGTCATTATAAAGACGGGTAATTAAAGCTTTGAAGCCTAATCCCACAGGACAATCAAATAGGCGAGGGGAGGCTCTGACTGTGAGCGTGTTTGGACATAATGGATGACGGTGAGGGGGACCCGTTCCCGGAAAACGGGATCAAAATAACCTCGGACAAACTTATCTGGACAGAGGGGATGTGGATATGATAGAGTGGAAATGCCTGCCACAGAACAGTGTGTGTGTGCATCTGATAGGTAAGGAGAGAAGATGGAGCAAAGCCTGTGATCAGGAGGCTTTAGAGCCACCAGAGTGGGGTCAGAATGACGGCATGCAGCAGCTCACTGGCTGCCTCTGCCAACTGTCCTGTTTAGAGGCCCTCAGAGGGGAACCTGCTTCCATTGCAACCATTTAGACCAGAATGATGACATCAGTGTGCCGTCTTCCCCAAAAACTGATGGCTTTCATGAGGGATCGATAGATGGTTTATTGGATTAAAATATGTTCCACATGATAAACTGATAACATCTTTTTAGAAGAAGTTTATTTCAGTGTGGTAGTATTACCCCCGTCCAGTAGAGGGCACTGCTAGTATTTCCAAGATCATTAATGCCAGAATGGAGGAATGCTAGAGTAGAACCCTGAATGGATCCAGAGGCTGGTCCAGGATTATTTACACTGTTTGATGGAAAAATTATGCAGAATAAAATTTATATGGTTCTGTCTGTAAATAAATCTCTGAGAGCGACTAGAACCACCGGCTTAAAAGCTCTGCTAACAGCTCAAAGTCGCTCAGAACTGATTGTTGGATTACACTAAAAACAGAGAGCTAAATGACAGTTAGTGTCCACTTTACTGAAATAATCTGGCAACTAGTCTGACAGTATGTCAGAGCGACAAACCCCCTGTTAAAATGATAAGTGTCTTACATATTTTATTCATCTTTTTTGTATTCTTAATAGTTTATTTATTTTTAATAAAAAATGTTTTGTTCATTCAGTCAAAAATTACAACTATGGACTTTAATCTGAGAATTCTGAGACTAAAGTCAGAATTCTGACTTTTTCCTCAAATTAAACTAAAATAAGATTTAAAAAAAATAAATTTAAAAATCTGTGAACTTTTTTTTCCTTTTTGCCAGTTGCCCTAATCCTCTTCAGCAAAAAAAAGTCGGAATTCTGAGATTAAAGTCTGAATTCTGAGATTAAAGTCCGAATTCTAAGATTAAAGTCAGCATTCTGAGATTTAAGTCAGAATTCTGGGATTAAAGTCAGAATTTCCCATATTTTTCCCATATTAAACTAAAACAAAAAAAAAATCTTCTAAATTTTTTTTCCAGTGGCCCTAATCTTCTTCCGTATACATAATACAAAAAAATAACGACAAAAAAAAGTTCAAATTTAATGATTACAATTTTTTTTTAACTCAGCTTATTGCAGAACAAAAATTCGGCTGAGCACACTCTGCGCTTGGGACCGCATGACTGCGTTACTTTTGACTAGTACTGTGGCTATAAACCAAGCTTGAAGCATTGCTCCTGGTGTAACCTTTACCGTCTTGACTCAGAAACCAGGAAACAATGGTACACAAATCATGGTTTACTGCTAATGTTGCTAATGCTACATCCACAACAACTGGCACACACGTCAGATTCTCCTGTGTATCCTCGTTTAAACAAAAAAAGGGGCATGAAATTGTGTTTAAATGAGCTCTATAATGTATCTCTTTTCTCCTAAAATGATTAAATATGAATCTGAAAACAATTTCAGAAGGACTGTATACAGGTGCTGGTCATAAAATTAGAATATCATGAAAAAGTAGATTGATTTCAGTAATTCCATTTAAAAAGTGAAACTTGTATATTATATTCATACATTACATACAAACTCATATATTTCAGATGTTTATTTTGTTTAATTTTGATGATTACAAATGACAACAAATGAAAATCTCAAATTCATCATATCAGAAAATTAGAATATTACTGAAGACCAATAAAAACAAAGGATTTATAGAAATGTTGGCCAACTGAAAAGTATGAACATGAAAAGTATGAGCATGTACAGCACTCAGTATTTAGTTGGGCCTCCTTTGGCCTGTATTACTGCAGCAATGCGGCGTGGCATGGAGTCGATCAGTCTGTGGCACTGCTCAGGTGTTATGATAGCCCAGGTTGCTCTAATAGTGGCTTTTAGCTCTTCTGAATTGTTGGGTCTGGTGTATTGCATCTTCTTCTTCACAATACCCCATAGATTTTCTATGGGGTTAAGGTCAGGAGAGTTTGCTGGCCAATTAAGAACAGGGATACCATGGTCCTTCAACCAGGTACTGGTAGCTTTGGCACTGTGTGCAGGTGCCAAGTCCTGTTGGAAAATGAAATCTGCATCTCCAAAAAGTTGGTCAGCTGCAGGAAGCATGAAGTGCTCTAAAACTTCCTGGTATGTGGCTGCGTTGACCCTGGACCTCAGAAAACACAATGGACCAACACCAGCAGATGACATGGCACCCCAAACCATCACTGACTGTGGAAACTTTACACTGGACTTCAAGCAACGTGGATGAAGTGCCTCTCTTCTTTTCCTCCAGACTCTGGGACCTTGATTTCCAAAGGAAATGCAAAATTTACTTTCATCAGAGAACATGACTTTGGACCACTCACCAGCAGTCCAGTCCTGTTTCTCTTTAGACGCTTCTGACGCTGTCTGTGGTTCAAGAGTGGCTTGACACAAGGAATGCGACAGCAGAAACCCATGTCTTTCATACGTCTGTGTGTGGTGGTTCTTGAAGCACTCACTCCAGCTGCAGTCCACTCTTTGTGAATCTCCCCCACATTTTGAATGGGTTTGGTTTCACAATCCTCTCCAGGGTGCGGTTATCTCTCTTGCTTGTACACTTTTTTCGACCACATCTTTTCCTTCCCTTCGCCTCTCTATTAATGTGCTTGGACACTGAGCTCTGTGAACAGCCAGCCTCTTTAGCGATGACCTTTTGTGTCTTGCCCTCCTTGTGCAAGGTGTCGATGGTCGTCTTTTGGACAACTGTCAAGTCAGCAGTCTTCCCCATGATTGTGTAGCCTATAGAACTAGACTGAAAGACCATTTAAAGGCTTTTGCAGGTGGTTTGAGTTAATTAGCTGATTAGAGTGTGGCACCAGGGGCCATCAATTTTGAACCTTTTCACAATATTCTAATTTTCTGATATGATGAATTTGAGATTTTCATTTGTTGTCATTTGTAATCATCAAAATTAAACAAAATAAACATCTGAAATATATGAGTTTGTATGTAATGTATGAATATAATATACAAGTTTCACTTTTTAAATGGAATTACTGAAATCAATCTACTTTTTCATGATATTCTAATTTTATGACCAGCACCTGTACATAAACCAAGTTATGACTCCCTTAATATTGTGATCCTTACTAAAGAGAAAAAGGTTTTCAGTACCTGGTCAAGTTGTAAATCAGAGAGATTGTCTTGGTCCAGCATGTAGGTAGCGTTGTCTGGACCCAAAAGCCTGCGAGCCATTCGTTCTTCATAGGACAATTTCTGTCAGAAACAAAACAAAAACATCTATACTTAATAAATTGTCTTTGTTATGGACAAACAGAGTAAAAAGAGAAAATTAAGGCTTAGAAAAATATCCCAGGGTCAATAACTTGAGTGAGGAATCATTAGCGCTTTAATACAAAATAAACAAAATGCTTGTTTCAATGATTTCATTAAAATGTCAAAATCAAGATATAAAGCTTCTGCTTTAAAACCAGGAGTCAACAAAGACACTCGCTGTGCTTCCACTACAAACATGCACCATAGTTTATCAATATTCCACTAAAGAAAAAGTGTCACAATTGCAACAATGACTTATTGAAATACACACATCCTCCTCCCACTTCCGCTGGTCCTGTTCATATTATTTGCCAGTAAAGTACGGTTGTTAATCATTCAGTTCAATTCAGTTTATTTCTATAGCGCCAATTCACAACACATGTCATCTCAAGGGACTTTACAGTTCATCAGATCATCCAGTCAAATTAGTTCAAAGTTTTCTATCTAAGGCGAACCAGTTGATTGCATCGACTCATTGACTTGGATGCAATCCTTCACACTAAGCATGCTTGTAGCGACAGTGGAGAGGAAAAACTCCCTTTTAACAGGAAGAAACGTCCAGCAGAACCAGGCTCAGTGTGAGCGGCCATCAGCCGAGGCCAACTGGGGTTCAAGGAGACAGAAGCAGAGATACAAAAAGCAGCTGTAAAATCTGTCCTTAAATCGTGTGACTCATGTAATGCAAAAAGATATTTCCTTTGCACTTTTGCGAAATACACCAATTTTAATACAGCCGGAAAAAAAAAACTTTTATCGAAAAAGATTAGTTCTCTCAAAATCGCTGATTCCAATAAGCTAATTAATTTTCATGACAGCTTGTGCATTTTTACACTAAATGGTAACGTAGCCACTATGACCATAGGAAAGAAAAGGTGAACTAATGTTTGTTGGAAAAATATCCAGGATAACCACAGTCTAAGCTCCCCAGGTGAAGGAAAATGAACCATAATGATTTCTTTATGAATGCAGGTCATCAGTTTGTCTAGTTTGTCAAGTCAGTTACGTCAGTGTTAGCTTGAAGCAAAACAAACTGACAAATGGGTGCGGAAAATACAAATGTATAGGATCAGCTGCACAAGGAGCAAAAAATGGCATCTTCTTGTGTTGCTGGTTGCTAGAATCCACAAAGTAGCCAACAGACAATCTGAAACCTTATTACATACCTGCAGCCAAAGCCACACAAAAAGAAACCACAGCAGCTGTGGTTAAACACAATAAATGAGGGCACTAGACAGAAGCAATCACCAAAAAACACATAGCTTTATTCACATTAAGTCATACCAGGGAAGTTAAGGTAAAGTAAATAAAAGAAAAGTTGAGGTAAAATGGTTGGTATGGATTATCATTTGGTTGGGTAATCCAGCTACTAAAGTGCAGTTTGTTATCCAGTCATAGGCTGTGTGCAAATTTATGCGCTGGAAAAATGGCCTAGAAACAAGTAAACATTTCTTAAATTTAGTGTATTTACCCTTTATTTGAATAGGTAAATGAGATAATTTGCCAATGGAATGAGAATTATTTTTCTTCTTTTTTATCTAAATTGACTTGTTCCATCGGCAAAATGTCTCTTTTACCTCCTCAATTTAAGAAAAAAGGCACTTATTTCTGGCCTGGTTCTCTTAAATTGTACTCCATCCTGGATCGATGCTGCCATCACTTTCAATTATAGATTATAGAGTTGGGCCTGTTTTTCAGTTTCTCTCCTAGACATAGTTATGGGCTCAGTTTCTACTGTGACAAACTGGTCCTGCTCCATTTCATCCTTTGACGTAAAAACTGTCTCAAAGTGTCTCCTATCTGTTCATAACTGTCTCATATCTGTTTAATTCTTCCTTTCCCTTTTAGAGCCACCTGTGGAGCTAGTCTACCGTTAGCTTTTCTAACATAGAAAGTATTTATAGATCAGTGCTTCTGTGTTCCTTTTCTATGTCTGCTTCTGTTTCTTTGAACCCCAGCCGGCTTCACCAAAAGGCCGCTCACACTGAGCCTGGTTATGCTGGAGGTTTTCTTTCTGTTAAAAGAGAGTATTACTCTCTACTGTCGCTGCATGCATGGTGAAGGATTGCTGTAGAGTCAATGACAAAATGCAGGCAAATGTCTATTGACTATTTGCTCAGCTAGGAGAAGCAAATCATCCAAAGTCAATGAGTCTTAGAAGCTTTGAAGCAATCTGACTAAATTGTCTCAGTAAAGGGACCTGAGATGACGTGTGTTGTAAATTGGCGCTATAGAGATAAACTGAATAGATCCTAGATTGGGGTGGGAACTCCAGTCCTGTATCCTGGAACTTTTACATATGTCCTTGACTTAACACACCTGAAGGAAATAGATAATTAAAAGGACTGTGGAGAAATTGATTGCATACTGGGGAGGGAATTTAACTATTTGATTCAGGTGTGTTGGACCAAGGATGAACCTCAATGTTGCAGAAAACCGGCCCTCAAGGATCTGATACAGAGAATCTGAACAAGAGTTTGGGTGATGGTTTCAGCCTCTTCAGAACAACGGCACCCTGCAGGTCATTCAGACAGATTATAAATGTAGAAAAGAGTTTCTGTGAACATTTTTGTAGGTTTTTCCTCTTCAAGAAAGACAGTGTGACAAAAAGGATCTAAGAAAACGACTGCAGTAGTTTCTAGGCGGTCAACAAGTTTTAAGTTTAACAAGCATTTATCATAGAAACAAATTTGTTTTAGTAATTCTCCACCGGTTACATTCACCACCATCAGTCTGCAGGTTACTCCTACCTGGCTGTGTCGTCTCCTGGCTTCTTTGGAGCGAAGCTTCTTCTCAAGATCCTGAATTAAGGCATCCTTTGATCCCTGGATGTCTTCATCTGTAGATCGGGCCGAAGAAGGCCGAGGTACAACAGATTTCTTTAAAATAGGTTTAGGAAGGCTGAAGGAAGCAGAGCAGGGAAGTGACTCAGTAATGGGAAGATATAACAAAAATTAAAAAACAATTCCCCATAAGAAGCTCACATTGACATCTCTACAGACCAACCTGTCATTGCCACCTTATAAAAGTATTCACACCCTCTGCACTTTTTTCATTTTATTACATTATGTAATATTTCCTTATCTATAGCTCACTAAGCTAACAAAACCTGTCAGCTTACAGAGCTATAGTTAGTTAATTTTGTACAGAAACTACACTTTAAACTACCTCAACAGGTGTGTATCCCTTTAGTCATGTACAAAAAAACAATTTAATTACTTGCTTTTTGGTGTTTTTTGAAGCATATGACCTTAAATAAATTTTTTTGTACATGACTAAAGGGATACACGCCCACCTTCCCCACCACTTGTAGCAGGCTAGTTTTGGCTTATAATAGTGTTGGCCATTTTAATTTACTTTATCTTACAAATGTACCTAAATAATGTTCTACTGTTGACTGTATGTAGCCTACACAATATCAGTTTAAGGAAGTAAAAAAAAGTTATTTAATTAGGCTACAGTAATGCATTGCTTTTTGCAGTTCTGTAGTGATGTAAAGCATTACCAATACAATTTCAGAAATATTTTACTCTGTTATTAAGTTACTTTTCTTCTTTTGTTACTTTGACGTTTCTCCAGATAGTGCACAGGTGAAGGGATCGAAGAAAAAGGCTCTTAGAATGAAATATTTTGAAAATACTAAAATACAGCATTTTATTTTGATACATTTTTAAAGTGGGTGTTTGGTATTTTATTTGGAAATACATTTTGAGGCATTTGTGCCCATCCCTGCTGACAGATTTAGCAACTTTCTGAATAAGAATGGGCAAAACTACTCCACCTGGAGGAGCCGGTAGAGACCGACCATAAAACCATCTGCAGCCGTTATTCCAGTGAAAGGAAGCTCTAATTGTTGAACTCAAATATTTCAGATTTTTCTCTTAAAAATTACGTTCAGCTATGGAAAGTAGTGTTGCACCGATACCAGCATCGGGAAGGGCCCCGATCCTGCACTAAAATGGTGGTATCGGTATCGGCGAGCACCAATACCAGTTTGAGAGCCAAAAGTTTCTTCAACTATTGTCACCCATTCCAGGTAGGCAATAAAAAGTTCTATTGGAATTACTTCCTATTAGACTTTTTCCTGCTTCACAAAGGAAGGCAGCAGCTTGACAAAGCCATGATGGCAATTAATTTACATCCAAGTAGTATGAAGTTCTTCATATACACACACACATCAATTTCAATCAGATGGTATCTGACTTCTATTAGACTTCGATTTATTTTGTCATTTTGTATACACAAATGTAAACAAAAAGAACTTTCGTTTAGAAATTATATTACATTATATATATAAATTATATTAATAGAATTTAGGTATCGGTATTGGCCGATACTGCACAGCCAGGTATCGGGGTAAAAATGGCTTCAGCGTAACACTAATGAAAAGCAGAAAAAATTAATGCGGTGTGAATACTTTAGCGTGGCACTGTTTTATAAAAGTCTAACTAAACGGTTTGCGTGTCTAAACTTACGTGTTGGGCGTCGCCTTGTAGCTGGCGGGCAGGGAAACGACGGCAGGTGGAACACTGTTCTGATTGGTTGGAGCGGTTGGCTGTGGGTGGGAGGGGGAAACGGGAGAGCGATGGAGAGTGGGAGAAACTGGGCGAGGTGGCTGAGGAAGGGTAGATGTGGGAGCAGGTGTCCTCGTAGGAAGGAGCGGACTGGAGGGGGCCAACGGGGAGGCGGGGGGGTTAGGGGACAGTTTGGAGGAGAAGGAGGACGGCAGCACGGAGCAGAGATAGGCAGCAGAAGCTGACATGGTGTCCTGGTTGGCGGGCAAACTGGCACTGCCGAGGCCGGTGGCGCTGGGGACCCTAGGGGTGAGGGTGATGGTGGAGCGCACAGTGGGGCGGGGCAGCGATGAAGAGGAGGAGGAGGAGGGAGGGGCAGAGGGAGAGATCAGGGGGGTGTTGGTGGGAAAGGGAGGGGCAGCAGAGGAAGACGGAGTGCACGTAGGAGAGTTGAGGCTGGATGAAGACGGAGACGACTTGGCGGTTCCGTTGGACTGGTACTGGTTCTGAATGTGGGCCACGGACCTGGTTTGGTTCTGAGCCAGACTCAGAGACTGAAACTGGGACTGTGTTTGGGACACAGACTTTGACACCACCTGGGCTTGAGAAAAGGACTGAGCTTGATTAGCTTTCATGGGACCCTGGACCTCCAGCACATTAGCACTGTTCTGGGTACCGCTGAGGTTCTGCTGGTTGTTCTGGTTCTCCTGGGCTTCCCTCAGCACACTGTCATAGCTGGGGGCCTGAAAGGCCGGCTGTGACTGGATGAAGTGCCTCGGTCGCTCATAATTGAAGGCACTGGGAGGGAAGGCACTGGGCGTGAAGGTGGGCAGGTCTGACAGGTTCATGTTGTTCCCTTCAGACTGGGAGGACTGGAAGAAATGGGACATTCAATCCAACAAGTTGAAACCAATGCTTTTCTGTGTTACTTTCTCTAGGAGGACATGAAGCTTACAGTGAAGCTGAGCTTGCTGGGCGTGAACAGCTTGGCCGCTGGCGTTTTCTCCTTGGCTTGCGCCGGTGGTGAGGGTGGAGGAGGGGGGCTCGGCGTACGGACCCGCACCTCTGGAGATCTCTGGCCCTCTGAGCTCAGAGCACTTTCCTCCTCACTACGAATTAAAGGCTCCTCTGTGCAGCGGTTTGAGGCTTCAGGCTCAGGGAGACTAAACAGGAAACAGCAGGAGCAGATTAGCAGTCTTCTACATTTTTATCTCGTTCATTAAACACAAAACTTGTATAACACAGATTATGATGCTCATTTTCCTGAACACATTAGCAGTGCTCTGTTTTCCTTGTTATCACACCTAAAGTTAGATTTTAAGAGAGACGGATAGAGACAGACAGAGGGATACAAACCCCATAACTTTGGATGCTAATGCTAGCTCGCTAGTCCTCATAATGATATAAAGTTAAAGTTATTTAATTCCTACAACTGAACACTATGAGAGTCATACTGAAGCCATAAGTTGTTTTTTTTTTTATTCTCTTATGAAGCTCTCAATGGTGGATTGACCCTTTCAGGACAGGCTTCAAATTGGCCCTTTGCAGGTTCTTCTTATCTAACTTCCTCACTTATGTACCTTGATATAAGTATAGTGTTTAATTATACAAATATGAATGTGCTCAGATGGATGTGTTGTGTACAAAATTGTAAGGATATTGATAATACGAGAACGGAGGGCAGGGGGCGAAAAGTTTGTTACATTTTGTTTCGTTGTTTTCTTTTGGTGTTAAAAATCAAAAATCATCTTCCTTGTATGGTGTGTCTGGGAAGGGATGAACTCAATTGCTGCATTGCAGGTTTTTGAAAGCTGAAACCTGAGTCCACCCCCTCTGTTTAAGGTTGTTTTTTCTTTCTTAAGATAGATGGCTTCTTTCATGCCCCTCTCAAATCGACTGTCTTCTTTGTCCAAATGTGAACGTTCTGATATTCAGAGGAATGTCCTTTGTCCATTAGGTGTAGATGTACCACATAGTCTTGTCCAGAGGAGGTCGCTCTTCGCCATACGTCTGGCCCTAACACAGAAGAGTGACTCAGATTTCAGCTTTCAAAAACCTACAATGCAGAAATTGAGTTGATCACTTCCTGCTATCATTGCAGCCCCAGCCTCTGTACAAGAGAGCAGAAGACCTCGCCTATTCAGCCAGGTCAACAATTCCCTTTAACGACCGACCTTTCAGATTCTTAGAAGGGTATGGTGCATTGCAGGCTAACAAACAAAGCCAAACGACCCCCATTTCAAAGGGGTGGACCCGTTTGTTCGTTCCAATTTGCATGTTTTCAAAACAAATACAAGGTTTTGACGGGAAACTGTATAAAACCTGGAACTCAACGCAATTCCTGACATTTTCAAGTCCAGTGGATTGTTTTGAATTTTCTTTTTTTAGAACGACTATGACCTGGATGACTGAGAATCTTCATCAACGTATCTTCTGACCATCTTTCAGTGTCAACCATCACAAATTACAGATCTATGATGTAGATCCTCCTTTTATTGCTAAAGAAATTCTCTTTTTAAGTCACGCTCTACAGAAGTTCACCAAAAACTAGATCAGCAGCCTTCTTTAGTAGCTAGCTAAAACTGTATTCTTGCACTGACAGAGGGGCTCCTAAAGGTTTCATACAAGAAACAAACTCTACATGATGTACTGTGTTTAGAGAAATGGAGGATAAACTGCTAAATAGCTAGCCCATAAAAATACATTAAAAATCAATTAACTACAGTGAAGAAAAGATGAAAATTAGCTACAATGTTCCCTCTAACATGTTAAAGAGAGAAATCTACCTACTGTATACACTTAGCTTTTATTTATACACCACATTTTATTAGCTTATCTATTTGGAGTTTAATGTTTTTATTTAATGTATTTTATCCAGATGGTGCCTCCAGGAAACAATGTCTCAGATCCAAGTATGGCCGTAACGATAAATATTGAAATAATCATCAACCCATTTGATAATAATGTATTCATTGCATAGACTGATGCTGCACAGACTCTAAAACGCTGAAAAAATAACCTACTGACAGCAGTAATAAGGATAAAGATTACATAATTACATTAATATGGTCACTATATTTATACATTCAGATTTATACAGTATCTACACATGTTCATATTTACTCTTTTGACATTTATAGTTCATTTAAAATGAAAAATTAAGGTTTGTTTTTAAAAGTTCCAATGGCTTAATTTAGAAATGTTAATTTAATAAAAGTATCTGTTTTTAGATTAACTGATGATAAAATAATCAACATGAGGCACTTAAAGGAGCAGTGCAACATTCACTTTGAGCTAAACATGAAGGCATTGCTTTAAAAAAAAAAAGAAAAACAATTTATGTTGAAATAAAAGCATTTTGCTCAATTTGGAGAGGTAAGTAAGACAACTTGTAAATGGATCAAGGTGATATGTATTTAAAATAAGAAACAAAAATCTGAATTAGTTTACTTTAAGTTCCCTTATATTGAATCACCTTGTTCTAAAGGGACAAAAATACTCCTTCAAATGACATTTCACCTTATTTACCTGCTTATTTTAAGACCTGCCTACCTATTTTTAGATCAGCTTGCCAAGCAGTACTTGGAACTCAGTTTCAGAGGAAATAAAATCAAAGTTTGGAGAAACGGAAAAGCACATGATCTACAACTTGGGATCAGTGTGGCTGAAACTCTGCCCTGTTAAATGTTTTCTAAGGAACGAACTAATGAGAACAACAGATATCACTGGTTCTTGTCCAGTGTCAGCCCAGTTAGTTGGTTTCCTTCCCAGTATGTCTGCTCCATTACTTTTCTGCTGAGAAAGAATGCTGTTGCCATGGCCACCACGTAGTCGGGCTTGCGCAGCAGAATAATGACAATGGCAGCCTTTTTCTTTGGCCTCTCTCATACGCGCTCATTCAGTGTGGTTCTGTGTTCAGCTCGGTCTCCTCAGGGCACAAAACAAGAGTTGCCCTACCAGCATAAACTGACCCAGCGTCTGAACTGGTTTGGTCACATTTTCATATCGCAGAAGGCGCAGTTTGTTAGGGGTCCTGCTGAAAGCCTACATCAGTCTAACAGTAAGAACTAAATGTTCAGACTAGAAATGTGGTTTTGGTTAAAAAATGTTGAGATTATGTAAACATCTGGGAAGACAAAAGTAGTGAAATATTCTTCTGGTCCAATTAGCAGAAGAAAACAGATACTTAGGGACTCCTGTTAAAACAATAACTGGTTGGAACAATAGGTCATTACTGTAAAGTAAAATATATAGCTAAAAGCAAAGCTTACAGTTTGAGTGGCTCAGGGTAACCTGAGCTATCTCTACAGTAATGCTGCTATAGGCTTAGACTGCTGGAGGACATAGGGACCTTTTTTCATCATGCTATCTCCATTCTCTAATTCTGCAGCATTTGTTAGTTCAACCTATAAGTTTTGCTCTCTCTGCTATCTGGTCTGTTTCTGTTTGCAAACTCTGCAACTCCATCCTGGAAATATCAGTTAGCCTGCTGCCAGCAACAAACAAGATTATAGATGATGAAATAGGCCCTGTTGTTCAGTGTTTAGTCCCGTTTCTCTCTTGTTTTACTGGGACTAACTGGATGTTTTCTCTTGGGACGTAACTGAATAGTAAAGTAAATTATTCTTATTTGTTATTTCAACCGTTGCGTATATTAGCTGTGACATATGAATCAAGATGCTAAGATGGAAAAATTTTGATTGACAGATGACCGTTGATATATGATTGGCTGATTTAGGTGTTCAGGCTGACGTACAACTAACTGGCCTGCATAAGATAACGAAAAAAACCCACAGATTTTAGGACAGGATTTTTTTTTTTTTTTTAAAGAAATGTTCTAAATGTTGGGACAATATCGTCTGATAAAGAGAACACGTATGTACATGTTTAAGCCTGAATGATTTGATATTTAAATGATTTCCCTACTATTATAAAAGGGAGTTTTTCCTCTCCACTGTCACTGCATGCATGCTCATTGTGAGGGACAGTGTTGGGCACGTTACTTTGAAAAAGTAATTAGTTATAGTTACTAGTTACTTGTCCCAAAAAGTAACTGAGTTACTAACTGAGTTACTCCCCCACCATTCTCGCAGTGTGTTTCAAAAGCCAGCTGAATAGAGAGGACGACAAAGACAAGAACCTGCAGAAAGTTTTGCATTTATTGCAACTCAACTTAAATGACATCAGGGGGGAACGCTATCTGATGGGCCTATAGACCCCATCAGATAGCGTTCCCCTCTTCTTAACATGGGGAGACGGTATCTGATGGGTGTAAATATCATCAGGCTGCATTACCTCTACTCATGGATGTGAAGTTTTTTAACAGGACGTTCAGATCTGGTGAGTGAATGAAATTAATAACTGAGGATGTCCAATTCTGAAATCCTGTGTGTTTGGGTTGTTATAGATACTGCAACATCTATCCATCTATCCATCCATCTTTCTTCCTTTCTCCATATAGACTAACATTTCATCATTCACGCTCTTCGTAGTTCCCCTGTGGCGCGAGCACAGGGCGGCCTTTAGCAAGCATGCACGTTTCCTCCTGCCTGCGCTGTGCGGAGATGCAGGGGAAACTGTATCTGATGGGGAAACGCAGCTCGACGTAACACCAGTATTTCCATCTGGAAAACGATGTTTTGCTGCTGGAGTCCTCCTCACTCTCCATCTCTCTGTGTGTGCTGTACGTTAAACCCGCAAGCGGAAACACCCACCTACCCAACTGACAGACAGAATTTCACTATACATCAGGGATGGGACGATTTATGAAAACCGTCAGAATCGTTCGGTTCCACTGTCTCGGTTCGGTTCGCGTGTGTTTCTTTCGGTTCATGCGCTGCTCCTTTTTCTCATAGAGGAAGCGATTACACTCCAGAGCAGAAGGTGGCGGTACTGCGACCAAAGCCAACCGCCAGTAGTAAACAAGAAGAAGAAGAAGCGAAGCAGCTTAGCCGGGTGTAGCAGGGAAAAAAATCAGTTGTTGTGGAGAATTGTGTCGGACTGGCGAGTGGGAAAGAGCAGGAGTTGGAAGACGCGCCAGCAGCACTTTATAGGTCTGCTGTATGGGAGCGCTTTGCATTTAGAGTGACCTACGATGACAGCGGAAAGAAAGTTGTGGATAAGAAAACAGTGTGCAAGCATTGTGCAACACGTTTTGTTTATG